ACTATAGTGTCCAACACTGCTCACAAGGTAGTTAGGCTATTTACCCATAGCTGGGACAGTGGTTGACAGATGCCAAGACACGTTCTCATGGTGGTGGGATTCATCTTGTCTCTGGGGCCCACTGTTGCTCCGAGATCCCCTGCAGTTTGGCCTGGGACAGTAAAGTACCCAGTTGACGTGTGTGGCTACCAGACATGGGCAATGTGGAGTCAACAAGTCATCTCCATGTCATGTATTTAATCTACCCAGCCAATTAACCAGGTAAGTCCAATCTGCACAGGTTAATTCACGGTGAAGATTGGACTCACCTGCTTCAGTGGCTGGGTAGAACAAATACATGACAAGGAGATGACTTGTTGACTCCACATTGCCCATGTCTGGTGGTCACGTGGAGGCACTGCTTGGAGTTCTGTGGTGGAGAGGCTATGTACTGGCAGGAGGAGAATCGCACACTGGCTCCTCTTTTCAGCCCAAATGTAGGGACGTGCCAGCTGCAGTAGCTGAATGCAGAGAGCTGCAAGCACAAAGCAGGGTCTCGATACTACTGCAGGAGACGCTTCACACACACCTATGTGCATTAATTTGCACACAGACACACATTTTTTATTTATTTATCAGTTAATAATATCAGTTAATAATTTTTTTTTTTTTTCCAGCATCCTTTTTCTGTTGGTTCAGGATGTGGACTGTCCCTCTGCTCTGGCAGGGTCTCCTAAGAGTGGGCTTCCTCTTCCATGGATTCAGAATCAAGAATATCTGCCTCTCTCAGCATCTCCTCTACAAACTCATCTATCTCCATCTGGGTTACATCAGTAAGTTGAATTTCTTCTGACAGGGCATCAAGATCCTTGGATGCAGGGTCTGAAGTGGTTGTCGCAGGCATGGAGTCTTTTTCAGATCTTGCTTCTTGGCACCTGGGCATTTTTCGTTTTGGAGGACCAAGGTCATCTCTGTCTTCGAGCTCAGTTGTCAGATACTCCAGCTGTCTTTTATAACTGGCCTCACACCCAGAGTTCAATTGTTGAAGGGAAGTGACTTGCTGTTGGAGAACGCCCTTCTCAGCTCTAAGGCTGTTCCTCATTTTTGTCTCTATCAAGCTGCTGCTCGAATGCCTTTTTGCCGTTTTAAAGCAAAAACGTTGGTATCATAATTATTTTTCAGTTCCTGGTACAAAACTTGGACCTTGATTTTAAAGTGGGAAAAAGCCTTAATTCCACATTCCAGAGCCAGTGATGCTTTAACCTTGATTCCGAAGCCCTGATCACTTCTCTACCCTCAGATAAGCTGCCTTGAATTCATTAAACAGCCCTCATTTCTGCATCAGTTCTATCCAAACCTCAGCTGCTTTCCATGCTCAGTCACCTGACCCCTTCCATGTGCATCATCCCTCAGGGTTGGTCCTTCATTTCCAGGCTGCTCGATCTCTCTAAATCTCTCCCCTCCCTACTTGATCAAGTCATTGTGGACGAAAGATGCCTTTTATTCGGAGCATTACATGGCATGCAGTCACAAATAACTTCATCATCACAGCTCCTCCAGTTCCTGGCCACTCTGATTCTGCTGCCAATGTTCTCTCCTGTTTGAAATTCCAGATCTTGTATCTCCTCTGTCTGTCAGCCAACTCTCATCCAATCCCTGTTTTTTCCATGGAGGAATAAACCAGTAGCTATCTTCAACATTACCTGCTTTCTGCCAGCTTTTATATCAAAGCAAGTTTAGCTCCTTCCACACAATTTTGCATGGCAATTATTTACTCATTTCTGCAAAGCCCTTAAAGGAATAGTACACCCAAAACATGATTAGCCTTCATTTTCTACTCACCCCCATGCTGAACAACACTCTGGAGTACTTTTTTGATATCTCAAATGCATCTGGAGA